TGTGTGTTTGTGCCCTCTCTGATGAAAAGCGATGCACATTAGGATGATGCACCTTTTTTATTCTGAATCGACATTCCTTTTTCAATTGATTGCCATTTTCCCATAGTGAATCGCTCAACTGTGCACAGCATGGCGGTTAAAAATGTGTCGCCACTCATATTTCCTATTTGCGCCTGACATGGTCGCAAATAGCTCAAGAAGGGGAAGAAAGGGGAAAAGAGAGAAATGAAAATGAGGTGTTGCTGAAGGTTGCAATGTGTGGCAGGGGATGCTAAATGTCGTCATCGACTGCAGGGGTGCCGAATTCAGCGCGAACCTCGAATATCATACGAGATAGCCCGCAAAATTTGGGTTTTCGCCTTCTTTTCGCCTTCGGTGCATCACGTGATCAGTTTTTACTTACGTAAATGTGTTGGATAAACGTTAATGTTCGAGTGATTGGGTGCTTTGCGTATAGGTTACATTTTTTTAGATCATATTTCATCTTTTCAGGCGTCGCATTTTTTGCCATTTTTAATATGGGGAAACCCAGGTGTTGTCCATCTGAACTGCACAGTCACGTGACCCATTTGACCTTCGGATCCAATTCTGGTAGTCAATTCTGGCGCTTTTGTTACCATAGCGAAAAATATAACCCCGTGTTCAACGTTTTGCTGACGACTAAGATTCTGCGTAATCTGGCCAATGACGTTCGAGAACTGCGGCCAAGCCCCGCTCATCTTGAACGTGATTGGTCGGACGGCGTTTAGAATCTTCGTCGTCCGGGAGACTGCGAACACGGGGTAAGCCAAGGGGTAAACAATCTGTGCGTGGAATGGGGAGTGGTGAATGTGTAAGGGCGATGATAGGCTGATTCGTCGATTTTTATTTATACTTTTATCCTTATTATACATTCTGATCATTTTGTTTATGTTCAGGAGTTTTCTCTGTTGATTTAACATCAAAAACTTTGTGTTTTACTGTTAATGCCAAGTGCCATGTTGATATTGAAATTGGGTTACAATTCCATATTCACCTGTTTTTCTATGGCCTGTTGTGCATCATATTATTGGTAATGTGAATATAGGTACTCCATACACTGCTATTTTTGGGTATATATTAATGTCTGACCTGATTTTACTTCACGTCTTCACTTCACCTTATATTTTCTTGCAGCAACAGTTATCACACCATTATTGTGCAAAAATAAGGGTGGTGTTTCGCGACACTTGCCAGCCACTTTTGATTTCCATAGAGACATCAACAAGCCTATACCTCCAACACTACCAGAGGTTGACGCTAGCTCACAGATTGCGCTGGCAGCGCCAGCGCGCCCGTGAAACACAGCCAGGGGTTTCCTCTGTAACGTCATTGTTGTCTAGGTACTTGGGCCTTCATCAATTGTTAACAGCTACAAAAATTGGAATTAAAAATGTCCAGGTATTGTGAGCATCAGCCGAACAGGGAAGTGAATTTGGCTACAGCCCATCTTGCAACGCCTCAGTGAAATTTAACGAGAAACTTAAATTGAGGGAGCAGCTACATAACTGAGGTAAAGCCCATCAATCCTTGTGGATTTACCTACATAACTGAGGTAAATCCACAAGGCACTTTGAGTTCAAACTATGAAGTGACTCCAAGCGAAATATAACAGAAATTGGGACTTTGTGGAGCTTAGAAATAATCTGCTTAGTGCTGGATGAATGTTTTCACTTAAAATAAACACCACCATATTTGAGTCATGAAAAAGTGTTTGGTAAGCATAAGCTTGTAGCATAAAAGATGTTTGTGAAATGTCACTAGATTTTAAAGTGTTAGTCTCTGCACATTGATTCTCAGATTGTTTGAATGATGAAGTCTCTGCACAGTCTCTGATTGACTGAATGAGCTCTGCAGTCACAATAATGAAGTTCATGGAAAGATATGATTTATCTTGCGATTTCCTTGAAGTGTGACTGTTTACCATATGTTGTTTTTTTATTCAAAGTTATTGTTAAAGTCAACCAACTTTTGCAACATTGAGGATCATACTTTAGATTTGGAAACAAGACATATTATGTAGTTATGCTGATCTTCTTTTCCAGTCTTTGATTATCACTTAATTTCATTCACTTTTGATGTAGTGAAATTCATGATCATTTTAATGACAAGCTACATTTGAAATGTATTGTTGCTCCCTTTTTTACCATGCATATTTTTGTGTCTTGTGAGGTCTCATATCAATATAGCAATAACAAGAGCAGTAACATGCATAGTTTGCTTGTGTTGTCATAACTTTGTACAATATTTCCAGCTTTATAATATGCAGTTACCTCACATTGGGCATCACACATATATTTTTTCCTGCAGGAGGAAAGACACAGAGCCAACTAGTGACTCATGTTTGTGCTCCTATCACTTCACCCCTGGGGAATCAGTGCCTACACCCCTTGAGTATAATGGTCATCGAGGGGTGCTGTCCTGACATGTTCACTTTCTGTTGAGAAGGTTAGAACAAATACCATGTGTGTCATTTAGTTGCATATATAATACCTTCATGTTAAGTCTGCATTAAGTCTAAAGTCTGTAGCCACCCTTAATCCTAGGTTGTTGTGACCTTAATCTAGCCTGGGTGAATATCTTGCTGTACTTAAAGCACAGACTGCGCTACGCCCCGGCACGGCGGCCGGGGCGCCTCCCCTGGAAGAAAACGGCATCGGGGAGAGGGGACGGACGGCGAGGAGCCGGGGAAGGAGCGCGGCACCGTCACCCCACAAGCCGCCCGCAGCACCGCCGTTATTCTTATGCCTCTTGGGCGCCGCCGACGCCCTGCGGTTGGGGAGCGCATCCCAGACGGGCGGGAGCCGGGAGGGCCGCCTGCGCCACCCGGCCGGCGAAGCAGCTGCCCGGCCAGGCGCGGCGGGCGGCTGGGTAGCGGCCGGACTGAGACGAGTCCCGAGTCGCTCCATGTCTGTCCCTTGCGAAACTAGTACCGCCGCCGCCCAGCCTTGATGGGTCACTACGAGGAAAAGGCGAGCCCGCTCCCAGTACCTGGCGTGGAGCTCCCGCGCGGGTACGCCGCCTCACCGATGGCCCCCTGGTCTTCTCTCTCTCTCTCTCTCTCTCTCTCTCTCTCTCTCTCTCTCTCTCTCTCTCTCTCTCTCTCTCTCTCTCTCTCTCTCTCCGTCTCCGTCTCCGTCTCCGTCTCCGTCTCCGTCTCCGTCTCCGTCTCCGTCTCCGTCTCCGTCTCCGTCTCCGTCTCCGTCTCCGTCTCCGTCTCCGTCTCCGTCTCCGTCTCCGTCTCCGTCTCCGTCTCCGTCTCCGTCTCCGTCTCCGTCTCCGTCTCCGTCTCCGTCTCCGTCTCCGTCTCCGTCTCCGTCTCTCTCTCTCTCTCTCTCTCTCTCTCTCTCTCTCTCTCTCTCTCTCTCTCTCTCTCTCTCTCTCTCTCTCTCTCTCTCTCTCTCCCCGACGCCAAAACCGGCTCACAGCGGCGTTCATGTCGGCCGGGGCGAAATGATTTGATGAATTATTTCATAAAGGCATTAACAGTGACAAAAGACAAAAGTTCAACAAATTCTACGCATGAATCATCCAGTAGGTACTGGCTTCGAGAACAGTTAAAATGAAGATGCACAAGAAATCGTAATTTCCCAATGACATGACATGGCTGTCGCAATGCTTAGCCGCAATCACCTCTTTTTGTAGTTTAAATGGTAAGTAGTTTTTGAAATTATCCGATAAAAATCTAAAATTGATACCATATGAAAGACCAATCAATTCTACACATGAATCAGGGTGTATCTTTGAGAAAAACTTGAAAGTTTAGGTGTGATAAGAAAAACAAATAAAAATGAACCATTTCCCCATAGACTTTACATTGGCTCCAAAATCGCATGGATCCAGAATTTCTGGAAGTGCCCCCGCCACAACTGCACGTGCGCTGCGCTCGAAAATGATCACGTGACCAAATCCAGATGAGATCACCGTATTTATAGTCACCGTGGGGAAACCCATAGACTTATTAGCGACCCTCCCCGGTCGCTAATTGGGAAGAGTTCCCTATTAGCGTTTTTTTTTTTTTTTGCAATGGTTTGCCAGAATACTCACTTCAAATAAGTTAGTGAATATTGGGGCAGAAAATGACTATATTTCAATAGAAAAATGAACGATCTCTCCGAAAATCAAGCCAGTAATCTGTAATACAGTGGCACCCACAGAGCGTGAGCAATGACGGTTCAAATTAAGGGGGTCGCTAATTAGGCACCTTACCCTAAACATGACACACTGAATCGGAAACTTGCACCCGTGACCCCTCTTTGTGCTTCTGAAGTCATCTCAGGTCATGAAAGGTCCCCAGCAGTTTTTTTAACAACAACTTTTGATAGAGGCATGTTAGAGCGGTGAAAACACCTCAGATGTGTTCAGCTCGATGCTACAGATCAACTGATATGCAACATGACCTTTCCCGGTCAGGTCATGTTGCATTGCATGTTGCATGCGGTGACCTGGAGCGAATGTCAAATTTTCATAAAGGCCTTTTAAGATCCAATTATAGTTCATTCGACGCGACTATACGAGGGGAACACGATTCTGACAAAAATAATGTCGTGACTCTCTACACAGCCAGAGTTAAAAGCAGAAAAACAATTTTTCGTAAAAACGGCTATTTTTAGAATTTTTGCTCTCTGGAGACTAAAACCGTTGACCTGAGGTCAAATCTGAGGAGTCAATCCAGAAAGGGCGTTAAAAGGCCAATCGAATGCGTTTTTCCGCAGCGCTGCAGCTTTCTTGGTTCCCGAGTTATGCGCCGGTTTTTCGAAAACTGTTGAAATAGGCAAAATTTGACGTTTGATGACTTCTGGCGACTTGACCTATGACCTGACCTAAAAAATGATAGAACGGCGCTGTGCGTCGCCGTTTTTGAGATGGTCGCGAAAAACCTGAGGGGGCGTAAAAACTCCCCCCCCCCCCCTCCATAGCAAAGAATATAGAAAGAATATAGATTCATAGAAAGAATCATAGCTAAGAACATCTGTAGCCGATTTCACCGAACTTTCCTTAAAATTTTATTGAGTCGAAATCAGGGGCCAGGAGTGAAGCACCGAAAGGACACCCAGTGCACATTGGTACATTCTGGTACATTGGTACATACAGTGTGATATATGACAAACCGTAGAAGCCAGCGATGACCTTGATATAGGTATTTCATGTATCATATATTACATATATTTCATATTTCATATAGGTACTTGCGCTGAGATGACAGTTGCTAAATAATGGCGACACTGTGAAGGATTACCAGCACCGAAATGTTATCGTTTTACCTATTGATACTTGATAACATTCATAGATCATACTCTGTCTACTGCATCTACTGATGTCTACTACTGGCACCAATGCTAACCAAATAAACTACGCATCTCATATTCAATGCCACCAATAGTCGGAGAAGTAAGGCAGCATGTTAAGAAAAAAAAATACTTCTCATGAGTGATTGCAAAATTAACCGCATTCACCTTTATCACGAGCAAAATATAACAAAAGGCATGCTTGGTTCATGCCAAACTAGCTACCTACATACTTCGGTGTTATGTTATCATTGACCCGGCTATTCAATACCACAGTTCCGAATGTCCCCTCTTCCCGAACAGCGGTCAGCAGTATTGCAGAACTTCTAACATTTGTGAACCGTCGCATACAGGGTCTTCAATAAATCGCGACGTTTCCATTTTACTTACAGTGCAGGCTGTAGGCACCTATAACAAGCTGCATCCCAAAATACATACACAGGTATCACATGCCATAAAGCTTAACAGACTCTGAACGATTCCTGATTGCTTGATTACCACATGTCGTATCTAGGAAATCACATTCCAAAATCGGCTGGTCTTAACAACATGACCTGATCGCCCAGAACCCCAAGTAGGTGAGTAACAATGGTGAAGGCACATAATATCGCTTTTATGTATACATGCACACTCGGCTGCCTAAAAAAAGTTCTAGGGTTAATAGTTGTTGAATTGTAGAGCATGTCTGCCAGAGCTCAGAGCATAGAGTTTTCGTCATGTTCGCCATCTGCGGAGAGGCGGCTGTCAGCGGCGGTCTGAGCGTCCGGCTCCGGCTCGGCGGCCGGACCGTCCTCCCCAGCAGCGTCCTCTCCGTCCTCGCCGTCCTCTGCGTCCTCGCCGTCCTCCTCGGCCACCGGGGAGACGCAGAGTACCGTCTCCTTGAAGCCCACCGACTTGAGCGAGTAGTCGGGCGTGGGCTCCTCGGGCGTCGGCTGCTGCGTCTCGGACAGGTCGATGAGCGGGTGCTCGCCGGGGGACGACGGGCGGCGCTCCTGGCGCGGCGCGCTCTCCGACGCCGGCTCCGAGCCGAGGCCGTGGACGGCCGGCTGAAACACCGACCGGAGCTGTCAGCGTCCGAGCGACGGCGGCCGTCACTCAGCCCGGCGCCAGTGGCAGCACCGAGACGCAATCAGTGCACCACAAATACACCTGTAACTGTGCATCACAGACAAGAATAGCTTGCTAAGCACGGCAGCTTGCGGCGTCACCTCCTGTTAGGAGTTGGAAAGCATGTTACCTGTTGGATGGACTGGAAGAAGGACTGTTTGCCCCCTGTTCGGTGGACTGGAAGGCGCGGCTGTCAGTTACCTGCGGTCCGGACTGGAAGACGCGGCTGTCTGTTTCCTGCGGTCCGGACTGGAAGGCGCGGTTGCTGTAGGTATTGCTCTCGCTGCGCCGACCAGTAGCTTCAGGTGAGTAGTTGGAGTTCACCATCCCTCCGGCGTAGGACTCGGCGTCATTCTTCTGCCTGAGTCACAGCACACACGACGTGACTCAGCACAACGCGCTCACCGCTCACAGTGTCAGAATTAATCCCTGTTTGCAACGCCCAATGGGCAATGGTCAATTACTCTTATTAAATTGATATGAACGACTATTGGTGAGATTTCGGCGTTAACTACACGCAGCACGGCCCCAGCATGGTGCGTAGCTGCAGTAGCCAGCCGTTTAGGTGCTGCGGCTGTAGCAGCCAGCCGTTTACCTGGTGTAGCTGCAGACTACAGGCCGTTTACCTGGCGTAGCTGCCGGCTGGACGACGCAGCAGCTGACGCTGACGCAGCACGGCCCCGATGATGACGACAACCAGAAGGCAGGCCAACACGGCCACGGCCACAATCAGGCCGGTGTTGTCCCCTTCCGGGTCCCCGCCGCTACCTGCGGACGGAGGTCACACATGCAGGGGACCGATGTACCGCACGGACGGAGGTCACACTGGACTGCAGAGGACCGATGTACCGTACGACACTGGACTGCAGAGGACCGATGTAACGGACAGCCACGCCGATATACAGGCAGCCAATTCACATTACTAACATATCTTTTTTTAGAAACCATTAACAGCCCCTACTAATCGCAACATATTTCTGCAGAAGTGCCATAATGATTGTTTATAGTTGCGTAAAAGAAAGACAAACAATACTGTCTCGCTAGCAGATAAGATCAAACCCGGTGTGATTGCAGCGGTAGCCAATCGTCAGGTGGGCATTGCGAGGTCGGGAGACTGCTGAGCTGGCAACACTCACCTCCACCGGACATCTGGTCCTTTTTGGTCTCCACATATTCCACAGAGTCCACGGTGTCCAGCGATCTGCCGGCGATAGCACAAAGATATTTGAGAGATGGGGCGAGACGGAGAGAGAGAGGGAGAGGAGAAGGGGGATAGAGAGGAAGAGGGGGAAAGAAGGGAGAGAGGGAGAGAGAGAGAGAGAGAGAGAGAGAGAGAGAGAGAGAGAGAGAGAGAGAGAGAGAGAGAGAAAGAGAGAGAGAGAGGGAGGGGAGAGAGAATGAGCATCGAGTACAGCGCTCGGCGCTCGGCGTACGATCCGGAAGGTAGGCTGCCCGCCGGACAGTGCTGCCCGCCGGAACAGCCTACCCACCCAGGCTATTGTATTTGCGGGCGGCCGATACTGGTGTCAGCGCAGCTCGCAGTCACGCTGACCGACTCGACAGTCGACACTCACTCTTTGATGTCGTCGGAGTCGACGGCGACCACGGCGCCTCCGCTGTCCTCTCGCAGAGCGTAGAAGTAGATTGCGCTGCCGTCCTCATCATCGTCCGAGAGCCGCCGTGTGGAGGGCGCCTGCAACACGTCAGCAGGTGGGGAACGGACGGAACGAACCGGCGCACAGAGACACTGGAGCTCGGTAAACAAAGGCTCGGTAGTCAAGATTTGGAACTAAGTACCTAAGGTATGCACACGCCCAACGGTGGTCAAAAGTCAGGGTTAAAAGCTGGTAAGACAGACAGCTTTTTTGCCGTAACTGTTAACTAATAGGACAGGGAAGGCATGGTTCGAGTTTAGATGAAATTGCATTCCTATACGATATTTCAAAATAGCCCTTGTTGAGTGTCTTGTTGAGCTTTTCTCCCCACCGTCATCCCGCTGTCCCGCGCCTTCGCTATCGTCCTGCTGTCGCTGTCCGTGACCGCTGGCCTGCTGTTCCTGCCGTCCCCGCTGCTCCCCTGTCCACCCGTAACCAAATCTCCTGCGACCCGTGCTCCAGCGGCGGCTGCGCTCGTACCTTGTCGGCGGCGCTCAGCGCCTGGAAGTCCCAGGAGAACACGGCCCGGTAGCTGCCGCTCTGGGCGATCTGTTCCAGCAGTGACGTCACACTGCCCACGTCTGTCAGCTGGCTCTCCGTGCGCACGAAGAACACCTGGTCGTCGGTAACAGGCACCAGCTGCGGGCGAATGTTCGGTCGGCTCAGTGGCCACGACTTACACACGAGAACACACTACATCTAATCCATCACTTCTGCATATAAAACATTCGCAGACAGGTCTGCGAGCTCTGGAATACATTTCAGCCCCAGTGCGGTTCCACTGACCGCCCGGGCCTCACCTGAATTGTGGCCGTGTCTCTGTTGGACTGGTCCTGGCCGTTGTTGTCGAGGGCAGTGACAGTGGCCCTGATGGCCGAGGTCCTGAGGACGGCAAACCATGCATCACTCAATACGCGAGTCCAAAAGTGTGGATGTAATGACCCACTCAACTTATCCAGGTTTTTTTGTTAGACTGGAACTTTCACACCTTTCTTCAATAGGTACATGCTGAGTATCCCTAAAATCAAACTGCTGAGCCTTAAACCTGTAGGTAAAATGCCTGTAGATACTGAAGTACATGGCCATAAGTCCTAGACTTAAGTAAATCATAAGTCCTAAAATGGCTGTTGGCCACCCTGCACACTATAAATCATTGTCCGACCTCTCCGATGAAGGAGGCGCGGCGGAACGTACTGCTGTTTGACCAGGTAGAGCATTCCGGACGAGTCCACGTCGAGCGCGTCCGAGTCCACCCGGTAGCGGACGCCAGCCACGCCAAAGTCGCCCCGATCGCCGTCCGTCACCTGAAAGTCACGGCGTTACGCACGTCACAAAAGGCGGCTCACCATCACACGCCTGCATTCAGCTAGCAAATAAATCACAGTCACCGGTGCTGACTCCCACCACGACGGGTGGCCGGAGCTCACCGTTAGGCGCAATCGCTCACTGTGAGCGGGTGTAGTGTCATTGACCCTAACTAGCAGTGACTTGGAACAGCACCGTTGGGCCTCACTGACCGCTTGGAGCAGCTGTACGGGGCCTAACTGACCGTGAGTTGGAACTTGGAACAGCACCATTGGGCCTCACTGACCGTGAGTTGGAGCAGCACCATTGGGCCTCACTGACCGTGAGTTGGAGCAGCACCACTGGGCCTCACTGACCGTGAGTTGGAGCAGCACAATTGGGCCTCACTGACCGTGAGTTGGAGCAGCACCACTGGGCCTCACTGACCGCGAGTTGGAGCAGCACCATTGGGCCTCACTGAGTACTGACCGTGAGTTGGAGCAGCACCACTGGGCCTCACTGACCGTGAGTTGGAGCAGCGGCGCCGGCAGGGAGGCCGTGGTCGAGGCGGGAAATCCGACCACGACGCTGTCGCAGCTGTCGGCGTAGGCGGAGCAGTCGAGCACCGGGCTGCAGTCGTTCTCGTCCTGTAGGCGGACACAGAGCTCAGTAGTGAGCCAGGGCCGTGCTCCGCGGCACACTGCTGGGGAGGCTCTGCGGCACAGCTCGGCCGTCACTCACCATCAGTGCAGCCTCTGAATCTCGCCACCTGTCTATGAAGGAACATTCACTTCACTCCCACGCAGACCCGGGGTTTAACGTTTTTCGTCCCTGACTAATATTTGCGATAGCCCCCGAACGCTTACGGATAGGAGCGCGAAACTTCAGTGCCATTTCGTCCATTGATTTGACATCTTTCTGGAGTAATAACTTTAGACGTCGCTCTCTTGATGACGCCACACAGTCTATTTTTATACCCTGGCACGACAAAATTCGATGTCATAGTGGTAAATTTCAAACAGCTGCTAAGAATAGTTTAAAAGATGTGGACAAATATGGAGCACATTTGTGTAATATATGAATTAAAAAATACAAAATTATTTTCTTTCCATCGTTACATGAACCATAAATAGGGGCCTGTTAACTGGAGCATATTTTAAAATCATTCGGGATTCGGTGCACATGGTAAACGAAATCTGCGGAGTTTGAGATAAATTTTTAGCATGGCCTTGACATTTGACCGTATCATTGGATTATCTCAAATGTCCTCTATCGTTTCCAACCAGTTCTGCCCGATTTTATTGCATCCTGCCATCCTCTAGGACTGGAACACATAAACTTGAGATCACTGCACATATGCTAGTTTTTGCCTTTGGGCTTTGACTCTTATCTCCGTTGTAAATGTTAGATGCTCGGAAACTGTCTCTTGTAAACCGTACAATTCCACCCAAGCAAACATAAAAAACTAGAAGTAATGAATTCATCAATCGATTTGGTATGCGTATCTTTGCACGAGTATGTTGCACTTTTCCTCTAAAAACACCTGAAGCATGCGTTACCACTGTCTGCGAAAACCCACCATAATGTCGACGATAATGAGCGTCTCGTCCCAGTCGACGATGTCAGTGCGGTCGGTCTGATCCTTGGCGCTCCCTCCGGCGGGAATGGCCTGCACCAGCAGAGACACCTGCCAGAGAGGACACACAAGCGCCGCCGAATGAGACATCCGGATCGTGGCATCCGCTTCCCGAACAACACGATCCAACAGACACACCGCCTTTGACTTGCAATGATGGCAATCGAAGGTTGTGCCAGTGGACCAAAAGCTTCCCGTATTGAATGTGTAGTAACGTTAAGATTATTAGCACCGCGTCTTTTCACTGCTAAGATGAAATGTCTCACCATGGAAGTATAGCTGAAATAATAGGTATGTATACGGAAAATTATAAAACGACATGAAGCAGTTCGGAGAGAAGCCAACTCACCTGCTGGTAGCCAAGTTTCGCCTTCTTGGAGAGTGTTCCAGTGGACTCATCGAGAGCAAAGCTGTCTTCTGGAAAATGTACGGCTTTTGAATCAGTGATGTTCATGCTCGCTGGCGATCCATGATTCGATGCACAATGTACCTACATGGCTCTAAGACAAAAATAGCGTGCATGCCGGCAGTCGTTCTACAAACATAGGCAGGTACTAATTACAATCACTACGCTTTCATATGTCGAATGCTGTTTCATCAATTCATCCCACGCAATGAGCTGGAAAAGAACAGCCACTACGACATGTGAATGCTCGTAAGATGCTAGTATAATAAGCCGCTGTCGTATACTGGTGCGCGTCACCCACCGTAACCGGGCGTGCGCAGGAAGTAGGTGACGGCTCCAGCCTCGGGGACGGCCGCCACCGTGGTCACCTCGCCGGTGAAACCCTCCGAGCTGTTGGCGAACCACTGGCGCTGCACAAACAGCGGACACACCACCGGACTCGGACTCGGACTCGGGCTCGGAGTCGGAGTCGGAGTCGATGACGGCGCAGCTGTGACGTCAGAGAGGACCTGTGATTCTCACAGAGCATACATGCAGGCGGCGAAGGGCTCACACAACTGTCCTGACTCTCCCCGTGCCCCACCCATCCGCAGGCGCCCTCGGTCACACCACCTTGTCCGGACTGACGGTCAGCACTACCAAACTACCGGTAGTAGTGAGGATGTCGGTAGTAAAGGCACCTCCTAGATTGCATCACACCCTCTCCGGAGTCACCGTTTGAGGGCAAGGAGGGAGGAAGAGAGGCATTGAGGACTGTTCCAGCGCAACTGCCTGCCTCTTGTTGATTATGGTTACGGATGTAGGAATCCCTGAGAAGAGTCGAATGTCATGGCAAGGCAGCAAATCGCGTCTACATTACAGTAAGCGGCACATGGTGAAAGCATCCCGCTAACAAGCACTGCATTTTCTGTGTCAGATGTTCATGTATCTGTTCACCGCCGGCCGTACCTGACGTCGGCACGGTTGTTGGTGATGTTCCCGGCGATGTGACGGTGGTGTCGGCAGATGTGACCGCTGTTGTGTCTGTGCTTGTTGGCGACGTCACAGGAGTGTCTGTGCTAGTCTGTGACGTCACCGGTGTGGGTGTTGTCCCTTCCGATGTTGTCTGTGCCGTTGTCCCCGTCGGCTCCGGTGTTGTCTGTGCCGTTGTTCCCGTCGGCTCCGGTGTTGTCTGTGCCGTTGTCCCCGTCGGCTCCGGTGTTGTCTGTGCCGTTGTCCCCGTCGGCTCCGTACTCGAAGACGTCACCGGTGTGGGTGTTGTCCCGTCCGATGTTGTCTCCGTAGCTGCCGTAGTGGGGGAGGAGCTCGCCTCCGTACTTGTAACGGGCGTGGTGGACGTGGGGGGCGCTGTAAGGTCATGAAGAGACCATCATATACCAATGGCAGACAGGGCGCTGTCAGGTCACAGATAGAAGACTACAGATCGGTCACTGACAGACTGAAGATAACATGAGAGACGGACGGGGCGCCGTAAGGCCACAAATACAATAACAAATCAATAACAAACGGGGCGACGTAAGGCCACAAATACTGTATCACACCAAAGACAATGCCACTCCACCTACACAAGCATATGTATATTGTACATGAAGAAAACATCACATGTGGGTATGAGTATGAGTATGAGTATGAGTTTATTGTAGAGACCATCCACGCAGTGGCTATTCTGATCTCACGTCAGATGATACATTACTAAAACACAGGATTAAAACACATACCTAAAACACCAGGCCATTACATTTTAAAAGTAAAGCAAATTAAGCAGTAGGCAAACACTATAAACACGTTAAAACACCAGATAAAAATCCCGGTGAAAGATTGTTTGCTGAATTTATAGACATTGCAGTGACTAAAAGGTTCTAGAATTTAGCAATTCACCTGTGGTGGTGGTAGTCAGTGCAGGAAGTTTGATGACCAGCGCCGAACGGCATGTAAAATGATATCCTCCATCTTCTTGGGCCTGCAAGGAAGCCAATGCCATTATTTGGCAAATTTGCTGAGATGGAATTGTTAAGACCCACGCCGGGCCGGGGGGGGGGGGTGTTTGGTCACGTCCCTTGCGGTTTTTTCGCGGTTATTTCAAAAACGGCGGTCTGGCACACCTGTTGACCCGCGCCCCACTGGAGTCTGCGTATAACGCGCCCTACTGAGAGGGGGCTCTTCATAGCCCCCCTCCTAACTCCGAAACTACTGGGCCGATCGTCAAAATTCAAACGGCGTCTGATAGCCCCGGAAAAACTGTAGAACGAAACCTAATTTCATTAACCTCGAGGTCACCGATGACGTCACAGGTCAGGTGAAAGTAAAAAATATTAGCATTTTGGCTTGTTCACATTGGCTCTGACCGCCGTCTTATAAGTCAGACCAGGCTCATTTTTGGTTTACACACTCGTGAACAGATGCTTTAGATACCCTGGTCCCTGAGGGTACTAAACTTGTACTTTGAATTTCAGGTCAGGGTCAGGCAGTGGCGTAGCTAAGGGGGGTCTCTATGGTCCCTAGGGACCCCCCTTGGGCCTTCCATGGGCTCCTATCCCCGAAGCTGACGGCAGGGTGCTTCGAAGTTTCAAAAGTTTAGGGATGGGCTGTTTCAAATCGGGATCCCACATGTATGTGGGCTTTACCTTCGTACGCACACCCTAACGAATTTTTAGGCCGGATTTCATCCACTTTATTTTTGATAAGCCTCTTTTTTAATTTTTATTGAATATGTGGAGTTTGGTTGAAGCATGTTGACGTTCGAGAATCGAGAGGTCCTCTTCAGAGCTAGTGAAGGGGCCCCTGATAGCTTGACGGGGGTCCTCTAAACTAAAGAAAGGCCCTCTTGATACACGAGAGGGCCCTTTGAAAACATGAAGGGGCCGCCTGATCGCTTGCCAGGGGCCCTCTAGGCTCTAACCTGCAGAAAGGCCCTCCATGCATAAAGGGCCCCCTGATCGTTTGACAGGGGCCCTCTGAACCAAAGAAAGGTCCTCTGGGTACACGAGAGGGTCCTCTGAAAGCATGAAGGGGCCGCCTGATCGCTTGACGGGGACCCTCTAAGCTACAGGGAAACTCTCTGATTGCATTAAGGGCCCCCTGGGCCTGATCGTCTGACAGGTCCGACCGGCACGGGGAAAACAGCATCGTGTAGAGAATCGAGCGGGCTATCGAATGGTGTGCCGTGCAGGGGTTGGCACCAGTGCTGCCAGATGGGGAAGGCTGTAATCCTCTATATCAGTTACAAAAAATCCTCCAGATTCCTCCAAATCCTATTGGTAGATATAGAAAGGCGGTCTTGGACGCTGCGGGGGGCTATACCCCCAAAAAAGTTTCACCAAATACTAAAAACCCATCGGATTTCGAATCTTTTCGCACTGCTGTGCAGTTTAAAAGATACTTTTTCTTATAAAAGTTGTTGAGTTTTCGTTTTATCTTCAAAAAACGAAAATTTTCGTCGATTTCAGGCGCTGCAGGGGGGCCGGGGGCATTTGCCCCAAATGTCCCCCTTAGATCCGCCAGTAGTTTGGTACCCTCGTAAATATAGCTACAGACTGAGACATTCTGCAGTCTCACGGTGATAAAGGACGTGATATATCCTAACGGGTAGGGTGACGCTGGGCAGGAAAATGCCTTTTTAGTCTTGAATGTGTTATATTTTTCCATGAAATTGAATATAATAATCGGGCGACAAATCCTCCAGATTTTCCTCCAGAATCAAAAATCCTCCAAAAGCGAAATTTGTCCGCAAATAGAGTTCAAAATCCTCCAGATTTGCGGAAATCCTCCAAATCTGGCAACACTGGTTGGCACGCGCCACGTGCACCGGGGAGGGCACTTTCTTTTGAAAAAATGGACGTTTCGGACGGATTTTGGATTTTATTTTATTTTCACGTGACCGTCAGACTGAGCGAGTTAAAACAACGCCTATTGGCAAGATAAATGTACCGCCTCTTATGGAAAAATTGTGAAAAGCTAATTGATCAAAATAAGGTGGAATAAATCGCTAAAGAAAATGGCATTTGTCCATAATGTGGCAACAAATGATTGCACGGATTTTGCTGCTTAACCTAATACGTTTGACAATTGAAAATACTATCATTGGAAAGAGCATTCAATTCTTTCCAAAATCCAAGTATCACGTTTGCATGACAAGCAACAGTATTCTTAAAAATATAAATGTTTCAAACCTCTGCAAAACCATTTTTAGCGAAATTTATCTACGGCTTCCTTTTGTCATAAAACTACGCACCTAAATTATAAAACACACTTGGCAGGTTCCCTGAACTATGACAGGTTCTGAAGTAGTGCTTATCATGCTAGTGCTAATCATGTGCTAATCATGTGCTAAGTAGTGCTAATCATGCTTATCAAACACGGGCACCTCGATGCGATGGATATTCTTTCGAAACCAAATCGTTTGGCCGTCAAAAAGCAATCGACCGACATTGATAGATAACCCAACCGACACAAGAACAACCAAACACCCACCAATCGAAGATACCCCTTTTCGCGTTGCGGGGCACGCGGGTCAGTCCCTAGTATACACTGAGTTTTGATGTGATGTCTGTAATTGCATAAGATCCCCAAAAAGGAATAAATGCCCAATATCCCAAGTGTTTCTCGAGGATTTCTGTGTTGATAAACTAAGATTGAGGAAAGATTTATGACCTCACCGGATCTCTGGAAGAGAAATAGTGAGCTCTATGATCCCAATGGATCTTTCGACAAATGAGAGACTTGAATATATGATTTCATCGGATCCGAAATTAATAGCCGTAGGATCAGACCCCATGAACCAATTTCTCGGATCTATGCACATGCTTGCTCAAAAGTCAAAACTGATGTCAGATTTTTTTTTCTAAATAGTGATCTCACCACAGCCGCGATTTCACCTGATGAATGGTAACCCCACCTCAATGGTGAACGTGACGGCGGTGTCATAAGGCTGCAACATAGCGCTGATTGACTGAGTAAGGTTCAGCTCTGCAGTGGCCGGGTCCAACGAGAAGTAATCCATATAATTACCTGAAAGAGAAAGTGCACAACTATCAGCCAGTGTCAAACAGTGCTCAAACACTGTCAGTAACCACCGTCCTCCTCAAAAAGGCCGGCTGCAAATTCAGCACGCTACGTTATTGCTCCATCGCAGGTTATCAAATGTTTAAGAGCAAAATTGTGTCCGATTTGTTAGAACACTTGAAAATTTTCAGACGAACTCATACAAGCCGCCTCCCTTACGATGCTCCGAAAGTCTCAAAAGCTCGTCTTATTTCAAAGACATACGATATGGACCTACCTCCAGAGGAATCCGTAATCAGAGTGTATGTTAAGTTTCCAGGAGCGTCGGGATCCGTGGCGCTTATGCTGACCCCCAACTGCCCAGGAGTCTGAAAATAATCGGACATGCAGGAAAAAAGGTAAGTTAGCTTGTGCGGCTCTTTGCTTCCTTCATATGACCGTTCACTATAGTGAACGGTATAGAAAACTATATTTGTAGAAATTATATTATTTATTATTATTACAGAAATTATATTTGTAGGATGCGCCTTATAATGCGCATCCTACAAATATAATTTCTGGCAGACAAAAGCACGTTAAACATTATAGTTACTTGAAGCATACATGCTTGAAGTAAACATTTATAATAAAAAACTATGAGCTGCACACACCGAAACTAAAAATGTAAAATTATCTTTTGTGCTTTACTGAGGTGCGGAATTTCTTTGAATTATATGATAACACTCACTCATCCGATGTGATCTGCTGTTCAATATAGACCTAATTAAAGAGGAAATCTACTACTGTGGACGTCAAACCGCGTGGGACGCGACTTTTTCGCAATAACTTTTGAATACGTTGCCTCTCAAGAACGAAACTTCGGCAATGGGCGTTTCAGACCCCGGCCTAATTTTTATTACTAAGGTTTTTTAATGTCCGATCAATATTTAGGGCACTTCCCGTTCACTCGTAATGCTAAGTGAAATATTAGCCCGGATGGCGGCTATCGTCAGGCTGCTCTCGAAGCCCCGCCTACTAACTACGAATTCCCTGCCATCTACCGTTCAGACACGACTGCCATCTGTCGGTCGATCCTCACTCAGAACCGGTTCTGCATGCTGTGTGCGTCGGGTCTCAGATGGGCGGACATCTCGAAACCGAGATTGTTCAGTATGGCCTTTTACAAGGTTTTTTAATCCGAGAAAAAACCGAGATTGTTCAGTATGGCCCTTTACCAAATTAACTATACGAATTATTGACTTAGCAGCAGGGATGCAGAGCCTTGAACATTTGAGTCAGCTCCAGCTCCGGCTCCGGCTGCGAGTAAAATGGCAATACGGCTCCGGCTCCGGCTCCGGCTCCCACTCAGGGCAAAATATGACGGCTCCGGCGGATCCGGCTCCCCTCCGGCTATGCGTACCGGTGCATTACGGAAACATTTAAGTTGGGGCATATTGGGGCTTGGCAGGATATCACGAAGTGTACTAACGTTCCTGGCGGTTTGATATCTACAAGAACCTAAAATTAAATTTTTAATTAAAAAATTAACTTGACTGTGTAAATACATATATTATATTATTATGTATCTCATTTACGTAATTACGTTGACAAGCTTACCTATTAGATAATCATTTAATTATTTTCTGTTATTCTTAAATCATCGTAATATTTGGCGTACGCGTATAGTCTTCCTATCTGGGTGACATTCTTAGCGAGTCGAAGAAAATATTTCATTGATAGAAGTGGGAACAGTCAACACTCGGTCCATTCTAAAAAGAATACTCTATGTAGGTAGATATTTGAGCCATCATTCGCCATACACGTTATATCCACAAACACCAGCTGAGCATTCATTCAGGAAGCACCGCGTACCAACCCCTACGGACCGCGACTGACCGGTCTCGGGTCAGGTAGCGCCTCAGGCAACGGCCAGCCGAGGCAGAGCTTAGCTCCAACGTCACACTATGGCTCCGCCCCTTGTGGAGTAGCCTCTGCTCACCGAGAGAGTTTCAGGAGCAAAATTTAACATTACGAGTGAACGGGAAGTGCCCTAAATATTGATCGGACATTGAAAAACCTTAGTAATAAAAATTAGGCCGGGGTCTGAAACGTCCATTGCCGAAGTTTCGTTCTTGAGAGGCAACGCATTCAAAAGTTATTGCGAAAAAGTCGCGTCCCACGCGGTTTGACGTCCACAGTAGGGCTATTGGACGTCGCCCATGTAGAGCATGCAGAGCCCGCTCTACCCCTTCGGGATAACCTGAAGGTGGGTCACATGGGCACCTCAGCCACCACTGACCTCTGGTTCATCCACGGTGACGGTGTAGATGTCCTTATCGAACTTGGGCTGCTCCGTGTCCTCGTCTTTCACATTGACTGTGATCGTGACATCAGCTGACTTGCCTCCCGGGTCCTGGGGACAACGGCGGGCAGACACATGCAGACAGAGTAGGAGCATCAAACCAGTTGGGCCTGGCGTGAAACGATCTTAAGAGAATACTCTACTTTTTATTTGGATATTAAAGTTCGGGTAAATTTTTGTAGTATGAGTTAAAAATAACATTTCAGGTGTTAGCACGTGTTACAAAAAAAAGGAATCCGAAATTTAAATGAAGTTTTAGGCACGGACGTAAGTCTTGCAGACAGTTCATAATAAATGCATTTTTTCGGCCAAAAATGGCGTGTAGGGACGTCTCAAACGAGTCGTACCTCATTTTTTTACGAATACAAGCACAATGTAGACGTTATCTGATACAAAAAACAATTGCATGAAAAGCTGCAGTAAATTTTAGGGTGATTACGTGATAAGCTCTTGAGTTATCGTGAAAAGGCGGCCGGGGGAGTTCGGCCCCTCAGTCAATGGCGGGTTACGACTCTACATTGCTAGCAGGCGGCCATTCATGTATGCTGAATCGACAACGATAACAGCAGCACAATGATAACTGTTGACGGCACTTTCCGCCCTGTCTCCGCGGCTGCTGGCGTCCCTGTTCACCTTGGCGGTGACGGTCAGCTGGTACATCGTGTTCTTAGAATAGTCCAGAGTCGCGGCCAGCTTCAGCTGGGTCGTGTACGTGGCCAGCACGTCGCCGGTCTTCACAGGCTCGGTCAGACGGAACGGGCTGTCCTCTTTGATCGTGAAGGTCAGAGCGTAGTTTGTCGCGTCGGCATCAGCATCTGGAGATGAAGAACAGTTGGTTGGCCCGTGCCCCGCGAGGAACTTTAGACTCGGCCTTTCCTGTCTTAACCCTCGCACGACCAGGCCATTTCTCATAACACGAACGACCAGGGGGGGGGTTGTTACGACCCCCCCCCCCCCTGGCGTTTCGAAACGGAAGGTCGTAGAGCTTAGCGGAAAAAAACCAACGGATTGCTCTCAACGAGATCTCGCGATTGGTGGTATATTTTTTGGTCCTAGGTCAACATTTGACCTACTTTTGACCGGTCAAATGTCAAATTTTCGGAAAAATAGACTTTTTCAACTTTCCGCGGCGATTGCGGCAAAACAGTGGGAGATATCGACTTGAAACCTTCACTATCGTGTTCCTTGATCAATTCTCTATCGTTTGGTATGTATTTCGTTTCCCTAGCTCTAAAAATGGCGCGTTGGGAGCGCCGGAAGTCGGCAAGGTCACAGTCGGCGGCAGAAATTCGAAAAATCAAAATTTAAATTTTTGAAATCTGATTGTATTTTTGGATTTGGAAGGTCCATTTGCTCCTTATAGAAGCTAATATTGCTGCATATTCCCATTGAGGTGACAAGAATTAGCAAAATAGTTAGTGGTTCGGGCGCTTTTCAAAAATAGTACCGGACGCTGTTCCTCTTATGACGTCATAACTCCGTGACCTGACCTGACCCGGTCAATTTTCTTGCACCACACGATAGCCAATGCTTGCCCCAACATGCATGGGAAGTTTCATCATGATCCATCAAACAATGTGGGTATCACCGGCAGAAAACCTAGGGATTCGGCGCACACGTTTGGTAACTGTCGGCCGGAGGCTGTACCTCTTATGACGTCATAACTCCGTGACCTGACATGACCCGATCAATTTTTTTCGGCAAAAGATGCGCAAAGGTTGCCCCAGAGTGTATTGAAAATTTCAGCCCGCTACGACAAGCCGTTTAGCGTGCACTTCGAAAAAACCTCAGGGGGGGTTGATATAACCCCCCCCCTAGGCGTTCTAGGGTTAAAGGGACCCTCCCACCTTCAAAAAAGTTTATGAATTGGCATGAAAGTGATGTCGCTCGGTTCAGAAAGAGCGAAAACGAATATCTACCAAGTTTCACCGAAAAATATTCACCGGTTTTCAAGATATTAGAATTTCACTTTTGTTTTCTTTTGGGGATCTCCGCTGTTCCTATAGCGACTTTCTTTGGAAGCAATAGTTTGGCAGCTGAAAGTGCGGCACTTGTTGCGCGCAAAGCAGCATATACCACCGCGTACTACAAAACGTTTTAGTCAAACATTTAAAAATCGTTAGATATCTGCGCTGACGTCACACATTCAGAGGGGTATTCCTATGCATTAGCCCCTCTGAATCAAAATGCTGCAAGTTTGAAATTCAATATTTCCGATTTAAGGCATTTCTCGTTGTTGTGAGTGCCGAAACCGGTAATTGTGAGCCAGGGACCCCATTTTGGCTATCTCAACTCTTGGGAGGGTCCCTTTAAATGGACTATCCCACCTTCTAAAATGTTGTTAAAACCAGTTAAATTGTGCCCGACTTTATAGATTGGATGACCAGGAACATGGTTCTGGCATTTATTTTTCATTAAACATCTTAGGCTTCCCATATTCCAAACACAAACTTTCAAATATGTGACGTCACAGCCCATAATTACCTCCTTCCCCAGGCCACATTACTGTCATAAAGCTGATTCTTTTTACTCTGTAGGCACCACAACAAAGTTCAGACCAAGTTTTAAGCGATTTTTCAACGAACAAACCCATTTAAATCAGAATGACTAAACGAGGTGACGTCACACTAACGGTCGCTCCATGTTGAAGATAGGGCCTTGCACAAGGCCCATTTTCAAATGAAGGGAACGAATTTCTTCAACACCAAGAGGCCGCGGGGGTTGCAACCTAGATAGATAGTGGTTTCTGAACCTCGCCGCAAACTTGGCTATCTCAACTCAAACCCCATGTTAAAGGTGGGATAGTCCCTTTAACCCGCACCCCATTGGGTTCTGCCGAGCAACGCGCCCCGTTGGGGGGGGGGGGCAATTTGCCCCCCCCCCCCCAACGGGTCAAAACATGACAAAGATCTCGAGAACCACGCAACCTAGCGACAAGCGGCAAACGGTGTTGGATAGCCCTATCAGGGAACTACCTTGTGACCCAATTTTGTTGACCTAGGTCAAACTGATGACGTCACAGGTCAGGTCAAAGGTCGAATTTTCACCGTTTACAGGCATTTCAAGAAATGCGTTGTAAAATCGAGTAAAATGCATTTCATTGAACATCATCGCTGGGGAAATATTCTTCAAACACATATTTTGCTATTTGAGGTCACTGATACCAGGTCAGGTCACAGAGGTCAGGTCACTGGGGGGTCACAGTATGAAAGTGTCGTGTGATACATGTTTTATGGTCCATTTTACATGACAAATGCGACTATGTGGGTCAGGCAGACTTTTGGGCCAGCTTAGGTCACGTTTTGGTCAAGGTCAGGTCAAGGTCAGGTCAAGGTCAGGTCAAATTAAGTCAAATTTCAAAGTTGATATTTTTGCATAAAATGGGTATTGATTCGATGCAGCTCGTCACGGGGAGTTCAATGGTGGTCGTTGTTTTGCCCTACGTGGTCTAAAATCGCTTTTAAAAAAATTGAGTTAAAAAATTTGACGTCATCATTTTTGAACAGTTTTTTTTTCGCTATAACTTGGCCAAAAAACGAGATATCGATCTGAAATTTGGTATGTATATAGGAAAGCACAGGCACTATCATATGTATTCCGGTTTTTCCGAAATTCGATTTTTTTATTTTTTATTTTTTCTTTAAAAAAAATTGGACTTTTTGGGGGTCAAAAATCCAAAATTTTGAAATTCCGAAATAACAGTTTTGTAGCGCCTCTTTTTGTCTACTAGACCATATAAAGAAGTTTGAAATCGTTTGGTATCTGTAGATTTGGTGAGCGTTTCAAGATTGCATATTTTTTGCTCATTTTTGCTCGAACATGACCTCAGTTTGACCTCAATAACTCCTGACCTAAGGTGACCTAAGACTTGAAATTCGGTGTGAAGGTGTCAAATTGATGCCCGGGAAGGTACTGAAAATGTGGCCGCTGTTTTCTTGGTATTCAGGAAAAACCACAGGGGGGGGCCAAATTGCCCCCCCCCCAACGGGGCGAGGGTTAACCCGCGAGTTGCTGGGGGGGCGTTAAACGCCCCCACTTTTTTCGTAAAAACGTTTCGTTTCATAAAAACGGCGCGCCGCAGGCGCGCCAAATTTTGGGTACCTGTAGGGAATTGATTGAAGTGTATTGTGACAAAGTTTAAAAAAAGTCGGTCGGAAAATTTTTGAGATATCGAGGTCTTAGTGACGTCATGATTTCTGAGTTTTCGACCAAAAACGGCATATGTTCAAAAAAATCATATAAAATCACAAAATAGACACACAGACATGCCGTCAACGCTATTAGACTGCCAATACCATGAACAATCAAATAGCTATCTTCGATTATTGATTATCGTTTCGCATTTTCCAAAATCTTGAACTGATTCTTGGCAATTTCTCGTGACTATATACCTACTTCACGACCATGATACCCGCATTTCTTAAATTGAACTTTTTGAGCCAAACACGTACACATATGATAAAATGAATGTCACCATCGTGTTCTACGCCCCAAATTACCCATAAAACATGTGTCACAGGCTGCAAATATCAGTTTTCATTTTCGGGGATATGTGCCTACCCGGTTGACCTGACCTGACCTTGACCCTGACCTATGCTTGACTGACCCCTACATGGAGCGCTGACACTCTTGTAGGCCTTATAAGATGGATTGTGCACCGTTTTGACAGATTTTATGACGAGAGGCGCCCATTGCGAAGTCCTGAAGTCCATGCTACTGAAAGCCCGATTTCAGGTGTTTGACCTGACCTTGGCCCGACCTGTGACCTTAAAAATTCAACTTTAAAGTACTCATCTGAAGCGTCTCGTCGCGTTCTTTCGTTTGCCGCCTCGTGCGTTTCGCTGCGCCTATTGGTTCTCGAGTTATCGGCTGGGGGCGTTTAAGGCCCCCCCCCCTCAGCAAACGGTGGGTGGCGAAATACCCCAGCAGCTGCCGGGTTAAATTTCGACTAGATATTTAGGCCAAAACATTGTTCCTTGACATTTTGTCAGAGCAGATCGCCCAGCCATTTGCTTAGGCCTATCAAGCTTCCTGCAACAATTTCGAATGTTGCCATAAATGCAGAATGGCGATATCTCTCGTCCTCCCGTATCCTGGGGCCCTCCATTGGTCTGAATAGAACACCAAATAGGTACAGAAACATCCACTTACCTGAGGCGGAGATGATCAGGTCGGGCACGACGATGCCGGTCGGGAACGTTTCCGACACGTCCACACTGCGGGGGAAGTCGCCGCCGAACTTCGGGCTGGCCGTGTTCCGGTCCTGCACTAGCAGTATAAATTGGAACTCACCAATCTGCAACGAAACGGCCCGCTCACCAACGATAGGCACTGCACCCGGACAGAGCAGTCAACTGACAGCTCACGCACCAACAATGTGACCCGACTTCATCCTGTCCTCGAGTCAAGATTACGCTCGTAACATTTGCCATTTTTGGTAGCTTGAAATGAAGAGTAGGTTCCTAGCTACTGGAGATATACATAGAACCAAGGCAAAAATCAATAGCGAATACCAATGCAATATTTGCTCGATGATAATACTTCGAATTTCACCGATGTCAGTGAGAGAAAATGTAGCAAATAGAGCACACATGACCAAACAATAGTATCTCAAATAGTATCAAAGATACGATGTTGATAGTTGATGATGCTACCACATGCTACATGCATGCTACCGTAGAAGTAGGCATTATTTACTGTTATTGTTAACCAGTCAAGCGGCAACAATAAAAAAGGTTACGAGATTCCAATTGTTGAACTTACCATGACCTCGCCATAATACCTAATTCAATAGGAAAATATAGAAACAGCTTATTTTGCGCTGTAAACATATCATAATATACTACATGTCTGTCATCGTCCTTTTTACATATTCAGTTGAAAACGTAATTTTCTTGCAAGACCTGATGCTTAGCTTTGAATTTAGCTTAACCTTACGCTACGTCGCTGAAATCACTTTGGTTCATGGGAAGGTTTCGTTGAATCAAGAGCGGAAGCCATAAGCTCAAAATGAGTCGCCGAATTGAATTGCATGCAACATGACTTACCTCGAGAAGCATCCTGACCTCCTCGGCATTGACCTGACCTTGACCTGAGGTCTACAGTACCTACACCCAAGTTAACCTAACAAAAGAGATACTATTTGACACAGCTGGATGGATCAAACATCTCAGGTCTTTAACAAAAAGGGTCCCGACAGGTCGGCCTCGCTCTCTGACCCGAAATCAGAGTTCACCGGTTAACCGGAAACCTTAAATACGTCATGTGCCGCTTATTGTAACGGCACACATGCTTATTCCTGCATGCAAAGCTCTATACTTTATGTACATATAGCAAGTAGAGGTGAAGCGGCACAGGAGTCGTTCTTGCCCACGCCCCCTTCCCGGCCGCGAAGAAGGGGGGGGGGGAGAGTATTAAATACATGATATGTACGGAGGGGGCTTTACAAAAACCAACATCAGTAGGTACTTACGTCCCCTCCGCATCTCATCTGGCAGGTGCCGGTCAGCTGAGCAAGTGTCGGGTAACCCTGGAACGCAGCAGTCGGTCGGCGTTACAATCACCAACCGACGGAATCATCGGAATGTAACAATTATCGCCTCAATATGCCAGCACATGGTAAAAGAAAGAACACTGGCGGATCCAAGAGGGTATTTTGGGCATAAGCCACTCCCATTGCGTCCAAAATTGACAAAGTTTTGTCGTTTTTCTCGCATAGAATGACAACTTCCCAGTTTCTATCAGAAACACACTTTATAATGCATTATTATTACATGGATCGTATGAAAACTGGGTGTGTGATAATTTTGACTGTTGGCCGCAATTTTCACATTTAATTACGGAGCGAGCGAAGCGAGCAGAGTACGTAGAATAACGGAAATTTCTGAGTATGGTCCGTGAACTTAGCGACGTATACGTATACGTTTTCAGCGACGAATTCCAATTTACTTCAAATTTATGGCATAGGTTAAATTGACCATGCTGAACACGAAAATGACATTTATTTTAACTTTTGAGCTGATCTTCATGGTTAAAATCTAGTTTAAATGACGGGGAACCGCATAACGTCGCGAAAATAAAAACCCACGAATTCCAAAGAACTGTGAACTTTCCAAAGAACTGTGAACGAATTCCAAAGAACTTTGACCTGACCTGTGACGTCATCGGTTTGACCTAGGTCAATGAAATTTGGTCACAAGGTAGTTCCCGGGTGGGGCTATCGAACGCCGTTTGAATTTTGAAAATCGGCCGGTAACTTTCCGAGATCTTAGGGGGGGCCGAAACGCCCCCCCCCCCCCCTACGGGTGGTAGGATCCGCCGGTAGCCCTACGGGGCGCGGGTTAAACCAGATATTAACCATGAAGGTAAAGAGTCACGAGCTTGGATTCCTCCACGGACGTTAGATCAGGATGAGCTCTACATTTTGCACATACATTGGAATTCGTGGGTTTTTATTTTCGCGACGTTATGCGGTTCCCCGTCATTTAAACCGGATTTTAACCACGAAGATGATGAGCCACGAGCTTGGATTCCTCCACGGACGTTAGATCTGGATGAGCTATACATTTTGCACATACTTTGGAATTCGTGGGTTTTTATTTTCGCGACGTTATGCGGTTCCCCGTCATTTAAACCGGATTTTAACCACGAAGGTTATGAGCCACGAGCTTGGATTCCTCCACGGACGTTAGATCTGGATGAGCTCTACATTTTGCACATACTTTGGAATTCGTGGGTTTTTATTTTCGCGACGTTATGCGGTTCCCCGTCATTTAAACCAGATTTTAACCATGAAGATCAGCTCAAAAGTTAAAATAAATGTCATTTTCGTGTTCAGCATGCTCAATTTAACCTATGCCATAAATTTGAAGTAAATGGGGTTGGGAACTCGATTTTTTAAGAATGCATGAAAATGATCAAACTATTTTCACAGAATTTATGGTGCATACCATTGCCTCATAAAATTAATAAGCTGAGAGAAATGGGGGAAGAAAGATAGGAAACTTGTTTTGAAAAGTTCTTGAAAAAAGATGCTCTTGATGCTGTTACGTGTCACATGTCACCTTCTGCGGTTGACAAATAATGGCGCATCTGGCGCACCACAGATTACATGTTATATCAATGGGTGAAAGATGTTGTTTGCTTCACTCTGCCATTCACGCTGTTTTTAACTTTAAATTATGCTAAAACATTTACGGATGAAATGTTCAGTGTCAAAAATTGATGTGTCTGCCGTGTACTATATTCCCACTTAACATGAGCGCGTGATAAACATTTTATGTAGGGTAACTGTGGGGAAAACGCACCCCTGGGTTAAACGCCTCCCCTAAAAAAATCGTATTTCTTATCGACGGATAGGTGTTTTATCCTGTCTTTCAGAACAGTCAGCTGCTTGTTTACGTAGGTCTCTATTTCCGGTTCTGCGTCTTGAGGAGCAGCGTGGGTAGGTGCTGATGTTGGTTTTGGGTGTTGTTTTTGTTGTTTTTACAGAAGATTCCTAAGATTTTGATGCCCTCTTTATACCACAAAACTTGCTATTGTGCACATCACTAAAAACTGCGTTTTATTGCCATTCTGTTGAATTTATTATGCTGCGGCGTTAGTGGCGCGTTTTTTTGTCAATATTTTGTTGACCGGAAATGGAGTGGATGGGGAAAGACGCCTACTCGATGCATGGGGCAAGACGCTCCCAGTTTTCTGAAAGGGGGGCGTTTTGCACGGTGGTGAGAGTGCAGGGTAGCGCCCTGTAGATGGGTGCCGAAAAGGCCTCTCCCTGTCCTTTTTTGCTGATATATCCTAAACGACTGCAGATATCGTCACCAAACTTTCAGGACTCCTCCGGGCATCTATTTTACACATTGCAACACAATGTTATTCCAAAGGCTATGATAGGTTGACCACAAATGACGTCAGAATGACGTCAAGTTCTGCCATGTTTATCATTTTCTGTTGATGGATGGGGTGGGGGCGCTTTGCACATGGGTGTGGGCGTATTACCCAGGGTATGGGGCAAAACGCCCTTTTGTAAGGGTATGCGAAAACCTTTTTGGGGGGTTAAATACCACACGCAGGTGTCTTTTCTTGGTCTCAAAGCGTAGTGAAAAGAATGAGCTACATGATGGTGCCCAAAGGTTTGAGTAATCTGTGTTGGGTTGAGTGTCAGAAGGTTTCGCGCTTAATGGGGGCGTTTTTGACCTATTCACCCTACCTCGAATTTTCAAATGATAAAGATGATGAATCGGAGGATGCTGAAAAGCAAAAGCTCATTCCAATATTTGGACTACTTTACGATTAAAATGTTTACATTCCTGTCATCTTATTGATCATTTATTTGTTCTTTTTTATGAAAATAACTTAAGGCGTTGAGAACCGAGGTAATTTCTATCTACCGTGCCGTGCTTACCAGCAACAGCAATCTATCTACGCCCTACGGTGGCAAGGGAGACTGTGAAAGAAGCGTAAGATGGATTCTAAACAATTCTTTTGTGATATACTGAAGGGCAAAGTGCAGAGAAGAGCGTACAAGTCCTGTTTTGTGCCAGGCTGTTGCAGTAACACTTATGAAACTCCGAAAACGATCTTCGTTCATGTCCCGAACAACATTACCCTGAGGAGATGATCGTCTGCAATAGCAGGAAGAGCTGATGCAAGTACTTTGAAATCCACTATCAAGTCGGTGCTATTGTTGTAATGATCACTGTGAGGTGAGATATTTTGTGCAAGGGCTGAGTGTAATGCCCAGGAAATGACCTCCATTCGCCCCCTGACCGGTCAGGGTTATAAAATTTGAGCATGGATGGCGGTCCGTTTGGGGTTCAGATGTCAATTGTATTTTGTTACTGTCAAACAATACATGTTATGCTGGCAGCGAATGTGTGTAACGTCGTTTTTCGAAGCAGAAGTTAGAACTGTAACGGCAGAGTGCTTGCTGGTCTCATCGTATTTCGTAAGTATTGTAAGTGTTGTAAGCAAAAGCATTGTCAATATTGTAAGTATTGTGAGCATTGATGTATGGTAGATATCACCTCACATGATCTCGGCTCAGATAACCCTCTCCGGTGTCCCTGTCAGTAAATGGCACCTGGATCATTACAGATAAGATAATTTGTCATAATTCTTAAAGAATTGGGTGGTTTTGACTCGTTTACTCGAGGTGCAGGTCGCATTTCAATACTTTTCCATAGGCTTGCAATGTAAAGGTCACGACTCTGACCTAACCTCAGGTCACAGATCAAAAATTCTAAGATATACAAACGACACATACTGCAGGTACTGTTTTGAAGACTTGATGAGAGGAAATAACTTCGTGAAAAACTCAAGCTCTGACGTGTTTGCAAACTTTTCTGAGGTGGGGTCAACAAACCCGCTCTGGTTACCTGACCTGACCTGACCCGGCATTTTTTTTTTTTTTTTTGCTGAGATGTGCGCAATGAGCATTTAGGAAAAGTCACCAAATATGAGCTGAATGTCTCGCGGCGTTTGGCAATTGTACAAGAAAATCCTGAAAGGTCTCCCCGTCCGAAATAGGGTTAATGTGTATATGAAGAGTTGCAGATGCCAAACATACCCAGATCTAAGACTGCAGTTCCCAGCGCCGCTGCAACGGTTTTAAAACAAACATAGGGGAGAGTGGGGTGGGTTGTATCAGTTTTTACTCCGAGACCCATAACCTCGTAACTATCCGTGATAAACTCATTATTTCCATACCATCCCCTTCCTTGATTCTTCTGCTTTTTTGTGCAAAGTAACTTTTCCGCTACCTCTACCAGTTTTTCTTCTACGGTCTCCCGAATAGAACAATGTTTTTGATACAACTTGCCCCATGGCTTGGGTGAGTTGTATCACATGCGCCCAGTTTCACCAAGCTCTGTTTGGGGTAGTTTCGGCGAAACTACCCCAAACCAGTTTCACCAAATGGGGTAGGTTCTGATTGGCCACTTCCAAACTACCCCATGGAGTAGTTCTTATTTTACCCCAAATTTGCCATGCAAACAGATGCTCACGGTCCGTGAGCAACTGAACAAGCCAATCAATCAGCTGATTATCGTCGGTTCTACCCCAAATATCCGACCAAAATTACGGCAGACATTCGTGGGGTAATCTGTGAATATTATCTGTGATACCAATTGTGAGCAAGAATTGACAGTAAAATAGTAATAAGAACATAATTTATTGAAGTCCAATCACCTGTCACGTTTGAGTACGCATTATTCATAGCATACCTACTTCAAATTTCATCCAAGTATTTTACTGCATGTAGCCTGCGCCACCTACATATGCTTGTGATCTACAACGCCAAAAGAAGCATTACAGATATCGCCCATAGCTGAATGCCAGGAATTTTACTTTTTTTTAACTATTAAAGGTTTTCTTCAACAGTGACCTTGAATACCGGATGAGGAAGCCTTGAAATATAAACAATAAAAATGCACATTCTTCACGGTGGTTACATGCTGCGTCTTGTTGAAATGATCCAAGTACTTGTGTGATCTATTCAAATTATCATTTGAGCCTATATATGGCCTTGAT